AGAGAAAGAGAGAGAGAGAGAGAGAGAGAGAGAGAGAGAGAGAGAGAGATGGGAGAAAAAAGAAGGAGATAATTTGAGTAAATGACTTCCATTTGCGCAAGCTATTTTCCGCAGAATTCTAGAGAACAACTATGCATAATTTGGTTCAGATTAGTCAATTTAGGAATTTATAGGGAATATAAAGACGGACAAACATTTTATTTTGTCCAACTAATTAAGATTTTCGCAGAAAAATGCGCTCGCACAATAGCACGTTGGTGCGTTTCGCGAAGTTAGCGTTAGCAATACTAGAAATAATTCCCAAAGCGCAAGCAATAATTTCAAATCGTTTGATGCTAATGAATTTCTTGGTATTCTGCAAATCCGCGCTTTGCAATAAGCGTTCGTTCGCGCGCCGCGAAAACCATTAGCCGCCAGAATGCACCACGAAACTTGTTAATTAATCGTTGTTAGAGACCTCGAATCTCTCGGTAGTTCTCCTCTTTTCCTTATCGAAGAACGTTCTCGCGGCGATTTGTCGGGCGAAGACAAACACGCTCCTAAACGCTGCCCTCAAAGGAGGAAAATGAACAGAGGTGAAACTCCGACCGAAGCTTTGATAGCCTCCATGTACGAGCAAAGTTTTTCCATCTGTGACGTTGTGTCGCATCGCGAGACGACATGCCACGTTTCCCCCTCTAGCCGTAACAATTGCGTGCCCGAATACACAAATGGAGCGAGCGCGAAAGATTGGATAAGGAATTCGACTGTTCGGATAGCAAAATGCCAACTAAAATGCTTCGCGAACCTAGCACGACACTCTCCCTCTAAAGTGCAAAAAATAAATAAATATCCCTACTTTTAGCAAGAGTTTCCGCCAGTTCTGATCGAAATGTTCAATTAAAATGTTCCATTAAAAAAAAATGACATTTGTTACGATGGCGAAAATAACCATGAGTTTAGGTGTTTGCTGTCTTCTCACAACGTATCACCTAATTTTATAGGCCGAATAATTTAAGCTGTACCCCTTCAGGTTTGGGAAATTCGAATGATTTAAGATTCGATCTAAGAACGTGAGCTTGAAAATCCCGGAGATTAGTCCGACCCATTTGGGATACTATCGAGAGTACCATAATCCAAGATTGGATGTGGATTAGATTAGTTAGACCTAATTTCGGGGGAACTGCAAAGGGGAACTTGGCGAGATCCGCATAAGACTCGCGTAGAGCGACGTAGGAACGAATACAATTTGACGCGCGAAGACAATATTTCGTATACTTTATAGTAACATTAGCTGTGACACCTGGAAAGAAAGGAGCAATGAAAAAAGGAAAGTTACGTGATCCTTCGTTTCTGATGTTTTAATAGATATGTCGTGGCGACTGATCCGAAGAGAGGCGTAGAAAGTTTGTCGCCAACGAGAATATTGTCTTTCTCCCGCATTTTCCGCTTCGTCGTTCACGTATTTACATGACTTCCCGTCCTCCGATCCTAAGCCCTTCGCCTCTTATCTAGTTCGGCTTTATCAGCCGTGAAACTCGGTGAAATGGCGTTACGTTACGGAAAATCGGAGGGGTGTTGCTGGCCTTATTGCCGCGACAGTCGCTGTAGAAATCGCGAAGATTGCATACTTTTCTACTAGCTACACGTCGAGGAAGCAAGGGAAAAGAAGGGAGCAAGCATGAAAAAGCTCCGCGGTATCATCCAATTGGTCCACTCGTCGCAGTCATAGCATCTGTGACGTTTTAAATTAAAAAAAAACAACGATAGTTCTGTTAACACTTTTCATAGTTCTAGAGTTCTAGATAGAAAACAAAAAGAGTTTCGCATTTTTAATACCTAAAAACAGTAAATGAAAAATTGTCGTGCTAACTTCGCGACATTTCCTCTCTAAAGTACAAAAAATAAGTAAATACCACTACTTTTAGCAAGAGTACCCGTCAGCTCTGATCGAATTCTATCAAAATATTCATTTAAGAAACAAATTTCAACAATTACGCTTTTTTCATAAACTTATTTATTTATGTTTTGCACTTTAGAGGATCCTGCTAGGTTTGCGAAGATAGCACGGCAATTTTTTATTTGCTGTTTTTCGGCATTAAAAATGCGGAACTCTTTTTGTTTTCTATCTAGAACTTTAGAATTATGAAAAGTATTAATAAAACTGTCATTGTTTTTTTAAAATTTGTAAAACGTCGTGCCAACTTTACAGACGCGCAGTCATAACCGTTTCAACTGCTGCGTAAATTACAAACCGCTCGTCAACCAACGTCACGAGCGCGCAGATGCCGCGAGGACATCGGGAATGTCGTGACGTTCAACGTTTAATGATCATTTGACTTAATCCCACGGGAAATGAGAGGAATCCTGGAATGCACAACTCTCTTTATTATTTGCTCGTGCTTGTTTACTTATCTGGAGCAATCTACTGAAAGTGTGCAACAAATTATATGTTCGTGTAACTTGTTTAACTTCGCAGGAATTCGCGTCACGATAAATTTTTCCTTTTTGACTTACATTCGGCGCACGTTTGTCGCAAAAACGTTCACGGTGTATATCCGCCTTCACATTTAAAAGAATGCTGAAGTTGAAATCTTTATTGACAGGATACTGACTTTTTTCTGCAAAGTTCACGCTGTATTGGCTGCGCGGAATTACAAATGCTTTTGCACGATAAAAATACGAATACGTGCGAATAAATTAGAGCATTGCTCAATATATGATTAAAATGATAAAAAATTACAAAGTTGACATGATTTTGAATTAGCCTATTTCAAACGTTGTCAATTAAAGTAAATATTCGCCTGATACTTACAAGTAAACCTACCCAAAAAGTACACTCCGATTTCTTTCTAATTTGGTACAAATGTAGAAGTACAAAAAATATTTAGGTCATATTTTTTCATTTTAGCCTAATTTGAGTATCACGGGCAGTTTATAGCTTTTTAATATTCTTACTTCTATCATTAACAAGTACAACAAAAATGCATAAGAAATAAAATTGAATACAAGATAAATTATTTTTACAAAATCGGCATAGCTGAGACACGAAACACTCTAAATTTCTTTAGTTGAGATTCCAACCGAAATATTTTAAATCTGTGCTAAATTAGTTAAAAATGGTTTGAATATCGGTCAAACCGAGAGAGAGAAATCCAGCAATTTTAGTTAAAATTTTAACAAAATCGGCATAGCTGAGACATGAACCATTCTAAATTTCTTTAGCCGAGATTCCAACCGAAATATTTTAAATCTGTGCTAAATTAGTCAAAAATGGTCCGAATTTCGGCCAAACCGAGGGAGAGAAATCCGGCAATTTTCATTAAAATTTTAACAAAATCGGCATAATTGAGGTACGAACCATTCTAAATTTCTTTAGTCGAGATTTCAACTGAAATAGTTTGATCACGATTTCGGCGATAATTTATCTATTGTCGATTTATTCGACCCAGTTTTCTGACTAAAATTCAACAAAATTTGAGTATTAAAAATATTTTGATATAAACGTTTTGGCGGGAACTATTTTCGTTTACGATATAAATTGCAAATAGTAGATATTGCGTTTTCAAATCAATCATCGAAAGTTATCAATATACCGTGAAATAAAAGTATATATAATACCATCGAAAATGTATCTCTTAATTTATTAGTCGTATTTCTCCTGTATATTACGACAATGCTTGTTTACGG